CCGAAGAAGTCGTGGAAGAATGAATCAGCACCTGCAGCTAGCAAGCATCAAGGTTCAAATCAAAAGTCTGCATAAAGAACCATTCAATTCTCAAGATTAAGCTTCAGTAGACTTATAGATAGGAATCTTGTAACTCATAGCTGATAGGCTTGCTTAATTCTTTTAGATTTTGATTTGATGTAATAACAGGACCGCGAACCGGAACCTCGACGGTACCTCAATTGGCTCTCCACCTCGGTATACTCCTTCGCTCTTCTCACTTATGAACTACACATGGCCTGATTCCTTTATAACCAAGAATATGTAGGCAGCTCAGATACCAGAGCTCGGTCACATTCTCCTTTTTTTAGTTTTTAGTCTCTCTAAATAAAGGTCGGGTCAAAAACCTGTCTCGTCGTTCTTTGTTTGAAAACTCTTCGTGTTTTCAGTCAAAGAGGGGCAGCTGTAGACATGAAATTTTTGACCCACCCCGAGATTTTACACATGTTAGCGTTCAAATATTTAGTTGAGGTCTAATATCGCTATTTTAATTAGTTTTGACTCTTTTACTTTATTTTATCACAAAAAATGAAAATACAAAAATAGTTTCACTTTATTTTCAAGAATATCAGTATTTTTGGCAGTAATATTATTTTAATTTTGCGATGATTTTAATATAATCCCATTTTTATTTTTCAGTATGATATTTGAAAAATATCAAAAATAAGTTTGTTTTAACAGTTAGTTTTATTTTAATAGTTATTTCTGCTTAAGTAGGATTAATTAGTATTGGGTAGTATTTTTAGTCTTGTTCAATGAGAAAGAATTAAATTTGGGCTAAAACAATCCATTTTTTAAGCCAATTTTGAAATTAAGCCCTTAGCCTATACTCTCATTTCACTAAAAAGAGACCTAATTCCACTAACCCTAGGAACCCTTAGAGCCATCAGCCATCTCCCCTCTGCCGCCCCACCTCCTCTCCAAAAACCTCTCTCAGTCGCCCTACTTCCTTCACAAAACTCTCCAACCACACTCCCTTATCTAAAAAACTAAGACTAGCAACAGCCCAACCTAAGACCCATAAGAGAACCAACGAACGAACCCCACCTCCCTTCAATCAGCCGAACCTGCACCAAAAAAGGGGACGAGGAAGCCACACACACATAGACATAGATAGAGGGAGGCATACAGTGAGAGAACCAAAAGGGGAGGAAGCCATGGTGATAACTTTCTAGCTGCTGTCATTAGGAATTTGAAGTTGACTTCAAGTTTTTGATAATACTGAGTTATTGGATTAGGGGATGAAAATCTAGAATAGTATCAAAAATAAACAAAGTGGAAGTTGAGAAAATCCTTGAGGTGTGAGATAGTAACGAAGTTCAAGAGGGGAACGGGAAAAGAACAACAAACACAGGAAGGGCGGAAACAATGACTGAATGAGCGAGAAGACGAATTGTCACGAAGCAGAGAAGTTTAAGTCTTAAAAAAAATCCATAAAATAGGGATGTATTTCCATTTCTGAAAAAGTTTCGTCATGGAATCCGAAGGGTTTGATTGAGGTCATTCTGGTGCTCGAGTTTTTCCGATTCTGGTTCTTGTTCGTATCACTTTTGCTGTAACTAAAAGGGTATCACATCTTGAGGTCCATTTCTTATCCCTCTTCTTTAATTAGTTCAAGAAGTTTTGGTATTCCACCTTAGTATTTTTTGACTTGAATGAATTTGTATTCTTGATGAGTTTGTTATTATTTTTGGATTAATTTATTCATGTTTGTCCTTTAATAGTGTTATTTGAAATCAGTATATTCAAGTGGTAAGCTTAGCATGGAGATATAGGCTGCCTAAAAGGAAATAGTGGTTTGGGCTAAAAATAAAATTAAAATGAATGTTTGGCAGACATTTTAAGCTTTACACGATCATAGCCTTTGACGGGTTTAAGTTTCGGATTATTGTTTTTACCATACCAATTTTTTCAATAGAGTCATAGTTTAGATTAATATTTTTGTTCGACATTTCCCGTTAGGAGCATGTTTAGGCCGACCACACTCGGGTAGGCAAACCTTATGTTTTTTGTCTTATTTTTATTCGAGGTAAGAGGTCGCAACCTTTAGTTTATATTCAGAGGAATACCCCATATATTTTGTATATATTTTTATCCGGGGTATACCCCGTAGTATCATGTATTTGGAGGCTATGAGGAACTTCGTGGGAAAGTATAGTATATATTAGTATTTAGGATTTTACTTTAATTTTTTTATTTTATTTTCTTTCGTTTAAGTGAGGACGACCTTGAGCCTCTTGAATATTTTAAAAGCCAATCAGATCGAGTATGCAATCGTGATTTTCACGGGACTTAGAGAATGTCCAACACCTTCTCCCCGAGTCAAATGAACCCCCTTACCTTGAATCTCTGGTGCCATCAGTTTTAGAGTCTAAACGTGCTTCAAAAGAACACATGATTCTAAAATCGGTGACCTGACACACCGAAATCAAATGTCAGTTGGCGACTCTGAAAATCTTTTGAACACAAATTTTTGTCACCTTCTAATTGAAAACCCTTTTGAGCTTTACAAATTTTTTATTATTTTTAAGAGGGTTAGTGAGGTGAAAAAAAGGAATGTGATACTGTACTGTTATCCTTGCTGTGATTTTCTTCCGTTTAAATTCCAGTCTTTATTTTACTGCGATATTTTTGTTCTGTCTTACTTTATATATTTATACCAGTAGAGCCCTTACCTGACCTCGTCACTACTCGATCGAGGTTAGGCTTGGCACTTACTGGGTACCGTTGTGGTGTACTCATGCCTCTTCTGCACATATTTTTCTTGTGTAGACCCAGGTACCTCCTACCAGCCTCGAGTTTAGTTGCACGGTTGCTGCTGTTCAGGAGACTTCAAGGTACACATGCCCGCGTCCGCAGAGCTCGGAGTCCCCCTTTATTCTCTTATGTTGATTCTTCTCTTATTTCTTTATATACTGATGTATAGACAGTTAGAAATTCTTAGAAGCTTGTGACTTACGGTGTTCCGGGTCTTGGGAGAGTTGTGTATATTTTGAGAGTTGATTATTGTACGTGCCGAGCGGCATCTCATTTGCTTATTTAAATTATCTGTTACTGTTAATTCTTAACTTTTATGTTTTCCATTTCTTTTCCGCAAATGTTAGGCTTACCTAGTTGTAGAGACTAGGTGTCGTCACGATAATTCACGGAGGGAGAATTTGGGTCGTGACATTTCTTTTGAGTGTATGTTGTTGGAATAGATTGGGTACATCTTAAGGAGTTTGAATCTCAATTTTGGGAGGATTTGGTAGAGTTTTGAGGTGGTTTGAATTGAAATTTCAAAGTAGAAGATGAACATGACAAAAGATTATATATGTATCACATTGTGTATCATTTGTGTATCATATATGTGTCATATGTATATCACTTGTATATCCATGTATACATGTGTGTGAGATACATGCGTGATACATGTTTGATACATGTGTCGCAAAAGAATTTTTTAAACTCGATTTTATCTACAGAATTTTGATACCAACCCAGTACAAAATCACCTCCAATCTTGCTCAAAATTTGTATTGCATCATCTATATGTTTTCAACGAATTCCAACCATACTCATTGAAAAAGATCCTTTTTTTGCCTAATTTATTTTATATTATTAATAATAAATTTTGACTCCAAACTAGTCTAACTCGCATCCATACATCGTCTAATTTTGCATATTGCCACATCTATGTATTTTCAACGAATCACAACAATATACTCATTTAAAATAAATCTTTTTTTGCCTATATTTGTTGAATGTTGTATATCGTTGGTTATTTTTTATAGCACAACTAAAATGGCTACTCTTGTTGGCAATAGTATTTTTTTGGTACATTCCCGTAAGATTCTCATAAACGCCGCATAAAAATGCAACATATGGTCGCTAGTTTTAAACTCTATGTTGCTAATATATGCATACACTCCACATGATCGAATTTTTGTAATTATATATNTAATGTTCCTTAAAATGGGCGATCCCTAGTCCCTACATATAATTGCTAGTATATTGTTGCTCACCACATTAAGATCTCTATATTATTATTTGTCGTATAACAATATTATTGATCATCACAAAAAATTCTCACATTATTTGTCGCAACAACAATATATGGGTTGTATCTCCTGCAATACTAGTCCAATATTTAGCCCCAAGTTGCGGAGAAAAAACAAAGCACCAAGTTGTTCCATATGCTTTGCAAGTTGCATTAAACATCATGCACATACTCTTTTCTTCTTTTGCTTTTCTATCAAATATTAAAAGTTGAACTAGAGGGTTCGATAAATATTTTAATTCCCTCATTCAATTCCGTGACACAAGAAATAAGTCTAATGAGACACTCTTTTTATTTACCCCTACTACTTATTTAAGAAACTTGAAAAATAGAAAGAAGAAATATTTGCAGGATTATTTTTTCTATTTAAATAGTAAAAGGTTATGCTGAACAATTTCCTTTGGGTTTTTTTTTTTCTTCGCAAAGTACATCAATGGTGAAGCAAAAACCATATGGTTATAACCCAAGACCAAGAACCAACTACTCCACGATTAAATTATTAATGAATTAAAGATAAAAGTATTAATGAATTTTAACTTTTGTGCATTGAATGATATATAATTTTTTTAATACCATGCATAAGGTTAACATGACATACAACGGGTCACTGTGTATCACTTTATTGTATTCCTAACTAGACAATGCAGAATAAACTATTTAATACGTTATAATCTGTTGAATACATTTATATTGTAAAATTTATATTATTATTGATATAAGTTAAATTCAAAGTAAAAATAATTTTTTATTTAAAGAACGTAGTAGTTAAGTGTCCAAGCCAGCTAGTCGTTAAAGCGACGTGCCCAAACCAGCGCTAGGCCAAACTATTTTCACAATATAAAATTAACACACCCACCGGCCCCATCAATAATTGAGGTACAAACTTTGAATATAAATCGGATCCAATCTTCATGAGAAACCCTGTCCATAGTTTGCTCTCTGGAAATTCTAAGATTGTAACAACAAAAATAATGGCCTCGGAATTAAATGTTGGCAAATGGAAGAACGTAGCTCTCCTTGTCATAGACATGCAGGTGATAAATTATTTGGCACTTTTGATTTCTTCTAATTAAATCAGCATGACAAGTACTACTTGCTCGTTTCAAAAAGATTGTTTTAGTTTGACTTGGCACAAATTTTAATAAAGAATAAAAGACTTTATGATATGTGGTCTTAAATAAGCCATCACATTTGTGTGACTGTAAAACTTTGAAAACTTGTGGTCTGAAACCTGTCATAACATTTTTATCCCTATAAATATTTCCTATTAAGGAAATATTGAAAGGTATCCATACTTTTGAAACAGGGGGAATATTTATTTTAAATTTGCATTGACTATACTCTTGTTAATTTCCAGAAAGACTTCATATTTGGCCCTATGCAAGTAAAAGGAGGTCAAGCTATCGTCCCTAACGTTATCAAAGCTGTTGAGGTTGCAAGAAACTGTGGCATTCACATCGTTTGGGTATTTTATCCAAACTCAATTTCTTCTTTTTTATTTTTCATTCGGCTTCTTCTATTTTTCTTAACTGCCAATCAATCAATTATGCTTCAATTCTGAACTAGTTAGAGGTCACTCAAAGGCGGTCATACGTATTGAGGAGAGGGGTCCACGGACCCCGTAACCTCGACAAATATTTTGGATATATCTATGAATATATATTGAAACGGTCATATATTTTGTTTGGAACCCTTAAAATCAAAAGTCTGATGCGAGTACTGGTTGAGCAATCCGCGCATGTAACCCGCCACCTTCTAATCTTGTGACCGCCTCTGGTAGCTTATATATATGTGTTGAACACAGAACATATAGTTATGACCAACAAATAAAATTGCCACTTTATTTTGTTGTGTAGGTTGTACGTGAGAATGATCCATTAGGGAGAGATGTTGAATTATTTCGTCGACACTTTAAACCAAAGCTGGCATCAAAGGGTAGTGTTGGGGCTGAACTAGTTGATGGGCTCGTTATGGACGTAGAAGAGGATTACAAGCTGGTCAAAACACGTTTCAGCGCATTTCTTAACACTCACCTTCACTCATATCTTCAGACCAATGGCATTACTGATTTGGTCTTCACTGGTAATTAAATCAAACATTTTTAGTACTAGAGTTTTCAGGTTACCTGTTATAAAGGGAAAAAAAGAAAGGACAGAAGCCCTATGCACTAAGCTCCTGCTTTGCATGGGGTTCGGAAAAGGGCCGGACCACAAGGTCTATTATACACAATTTTACTTTGCATTTCACGTTACCTATTATAACATGCTAAAACATTACTAGGGGGAAGGAGGGTTCGCTTAGCCGGAAAATTACATCGTGCATATAAGGCAGAAATTGATTTTTACCGCTATATATTATATTTTGGATCCCTTTAATATAGCCCAATGGTCAAGGGGTTTAAAATCTTTACTAGGTTACTGGTTTAATTCTCATTGACCACAGTCTCTTTTCTAATTTTTTACTTTTTTTTTTTTGAATCCCCTTAACAGAAATTCCCACTATTATTTATTATTGCACTGTCCTTTTATAAAAGTTAAATCTTGATTATATAGTATGTTTGTATTTGCTGTGTCTCTTTCTAGGTGTCCAAACACCAAATTGCATACGGCAAACTGTATTTGATGCAGTATCATTGGACTATAAACAAGTGACAGTTATTACTGACGCCACAGCTGCTGCTACACCTGATATACACATTGGTATGAATTATCTTATATCAATATACAAGAGGCAATCCCTTTTCTTGTCCACAATTTTATTTTATTGTCCTATACTATATATCTGCCGGTTGACCAAATTTAGCAATTTGTTCGATCTAGTGTAGCTTATGACTGTTAGGTAAATTAAATCAACCTTGAATATATGCTTTAATGATTTTCCTTTTTAACTGCTCGCTTTAATTTCTTGAACCTGGCTTTTGGCCTACTAACAATTAGTTTGCTCTTCTCTATGTAACAGCAAACATACTTGACATGAAAAATATTGGAGTAGCAACCCCTACATTGGAAGAATGGTGCCAATCTACATAGCAATTGATCAGTTAAATTCAGTAATTATCCTTAATGCATATATATTATAACTTTTTCTTTTATCTGATTGTATTTGATATTTTATGCAACGTTTTCAATCCAGTTATGTATTCCGATTATACTGTCAGTGTCAGTGTATATAAGTTAAATCTATATATATCTCCTAATTCTTAGGGATGGAAATCATTTTTTGAATGAGTTTGTAACTATTAGCTTTTTACCTCAATTAACTTGTTCGTAGCATTTCGTTTGGCGACGTCCCTCGATTAATTTAGAACTTCACTACTTACCCTTAAAATAAAATTTTAGCTGCCAGTCTTTGTCTCCTTGTATACTACTTGCTTATGTTATTCACTCACTTTTCCTCCTCCTTTTTTTAACTGTATTTTCTACTCTAGTTTTACTTGACTCATATAAAAAATGACTTAAAGTTTTAATATCCGCATTAAGCAATAAAATTAATCTCTTTCTACAATCTTTTTCCCATTTTGGGACGTTACATCAACAAAATATAGCTATTGAAAACATATTCAGATTTAATTATTCCAAAATTGAGAGCACTTCATTACGATATAAAAAAAAAAAAAAAAAAAAAAAAAAAAAAGTTAATGTATACATCTGCCATGGAGTAAAAGTAAACACTTTATGTAAACTGGACAAGAAGAAAATAAGGCAAAAGGAAAATGCTGCTATAAGATTGTTGACAATAAATTTAATAAGAATAAAAAAAATTGAAATTAAAAAAGAAAAAGAAAAAAGAACCTCAACCTCCTTCCTTTGGGCCAAAATTCTCAGGCCTATGAGTAGGTCTTCCCATGATGTCTACCCCTTACCCATTGGGATTTTTAACTGGGAGAATGATACAGTTACCCGCAAAAACAAAACTATTTATCCTTATCTATTCATTTATTTTTCTACTCATAAATTAATTGCATTTTCTATCCATAATAGTTTTTGTAGAAATTTTTTTCTTTATTCTCCAATTCTTTTTTATTTCTATGCTTCTTTTCTTTTCTTTTTTTCCTTTTTTTTCTTTCTCCTTTTCTTTTTCTCGTTTTCTTCTTCTTCTTTTTTCCTTTTCTAATTTCATTTAACTTCTTTTTTTTTATATTCTTTTTCTCTTCATAATATAATTTCATTTAATGTTTTCACTATTTTTTATTATTCTTTTTTTATACTATACTAAAGAAAAATCAAATTGTGTATCAATCAAATGTAGCTAATACAACAAAAAAATATTAACTAACATATAATACCAGTATAGTATATAGTTATACCAACAGGGTATACAATTGTACGCAAATAGTTAAAAAAAATTAGTTCAATTATTAAATTGAAATAATATCAGTTGTCAATAAAAATTTCAAAAAATTCTAAAAAGATCTAATTGTAAGAGTATACCGTTACATTATATAGCATTCTATAATTTTTATTTTTTTTGGCATTTTCAATTTGCCTCTCACGCTGGGTAAAAGCTTAAAGCAAATTAAAAGGGAAAAAGGCAAGTGAACTTACCGGTAATAAGTATACTATTATAGTATATTGTATACTATTACAACATACTGTTATAGTATATTGCATATTATTATAGTATACTATAACAATATATTGTATACTATAATAGTATACCGTTGCAGTATAACTATATACTCCTATAATATATTGTATACTATAGTACTGTTAGGTAACTGTGTTCTTCTTCGATTATTATAATATACCGTTGCAGTATATTATAAGCTATACTAGTATATTGTTGCAGTATAGCTATATACTCCTACAGCATATTGTATACCGTAGCGGTATACTCTTGGGTAGTTGTGTTCTTCTTCGATTTTCAGCTAAAAAATTTCAATCTCAATCACCTCAAATCAGCTCCAAATGCTATCAAATTTCAGTATGAACTTCTAAAAGGTACTATAAGTAATATTTAATAGCACCCACTTTGAATCAAACAAGAAATTTTTAAAAATAAAATTGAGCTTCAAGCCCAACAATGATGGATATTCAAATGCACATAAAATTTTAGATCTGGGAAGCTTACTCGAAGATACTATAAGCAATATTTTATAGCACCCACATCGAATCAAACAATATATAATTTCAAATTCTGGAGCTTCAAGCTCAACAATGGTGGGTCTTCCTTCACACACACATAAAAATCATAAGAAAAGGAGGTAGAGCAAAAGCTTGGGTTGACTCTCTTAATGAAGATAGATCTGGCAGAGGAGAAGTAGACCCATTTAAGTCCACTACCAAGTAAGCTTGCAAAAATGAAGTCAGATGTTTTAATATTCCGTACTTCAAATGCGAAGGCAAAAAGCTGTGGGTCGGGTAGATAGTCTTGGTTGCATAGGTAGGAAAAGTAAATAGTTTAGGTTTGGGTATTTAAGGATAAATAGTTTGAGCTTAATGGGTATAAAGTGAGATTTTCTCTTTTTAACCCTTACCCATTCAGGGGTCTGGTTTAGTTGGGCTGGAATTTTTGTGGGCTTCGATTGGATCAAAATTGGGTGAAATTCAAAAATAGCTAGATTTACAAGTAGTAATTGAAAAGTAGTCACAGTTTTAAAAGTAATCGAAATTTAGCAACTTTTCATGTAAAGATAAATCTGAACGAAAACACTATTCAAAATCCGAAAAATATTCCAGCATAATATATTGGAGTTTGAATTTTTTACATGTGAACTTCCAGCACAATATACTGGAGTTCCAGTATAATATGCTGGAAGTTCATACACAGGTGCTCCAATCTCCAGTATATTATGCTGGAACTTTACGGGCGTTGGAGTTCCAGCATAATATGCTGGAAGTTCATACACAGGTGCTCCAATCTCCAGTATATTATGCTGGAACTTTACGGGCGTTGGAGTTCCAGCATAATATGCTGGATGTTCATTCACAGATGTTCCAATCTTCAATATATTATGCTGGAACTTTCTGTGTTTCAGCAAAATAATGGCTATTTTTCAATGACTTTGCAAACGTTAATTATTTTTCAATTAGCAGTCCGAAAACTGGCTAGCCTGTGCTATTTTCACATCAAAATTCTGTCTAATAGTATGTGGTTGAATTAAAAATATTTGACAAAAAAAAAATTAAAACAAACGTCAGACACTTATACTCTCAAAAACATGTTTTATAATTGAAAGCCGGGGTTCATTCACTTCTGATTTTAAACCTTCAAACTAATTAAGACCTCCACCATTTTTTTAAATTAAAAAGAAATTGGACCTATACGTTCTTCTATTCATAGAAGTGTATATATAATTGAGAAATTTTCATAAAGTACTATCTTTTAGTAGTAATTAGTCATCTATAGATACCATTTGATATATTACGTGTTATGGATACCTTCTATGTGTATTTGATGTATGTAACCTAATGTATTCATGAATACAGTCGCAAAAATAGGCGTGAATCAGGGAAGTCCAGCTAATCTTCAGATGTATTCAACTGTATTTACGAGGTGTATTCAAAAATACAGTAACGTTTTTAGCATAAAATATGGACCTTTCAACTGGTTTAAAACGAAAAGGAAATCAATTTACCTGATATTCTCCTAATATAACTCAACTAACACAAACTATTGCACCATAAATCTGTATTCCTCCATTCACGAAAGTTTTTCAATCGGAAAAAATAAACTAAAGCAGAGCAACATCTAGATTTTAAGTTCTCCCTTTTTATGTAGTTCTAGTGCGTGCCCAGTTCTCTTTTCAACAACGAAAAATTGCAATTGATACAATTGTATACATATGGCAAGTTTAACAGTGTTGTTGTGGCATTCTGGCAAGTGGAACATTGAGAGCAATTACGTCGATTATTCAATTGAGGGAATACTGATAAAGGAGTATGCATCGTATAATGATTTGGTTGCGTCAATCTCTAATCAACTGGGCATAGATTTGAGCTCAAAGTCCATTAAAATTCAATACAAAGTAGAAAGAAATTGCACGCCAATAAAAATACACAATGATATGGGTTACAGGGTGTATGTAGATTTGAAAAAAGAGAACAAAGAATTCAGGATGTATCCTTTGTGCATAACAACTATTGAAAAAGAACTTGTATCCGGAGGTAGTTTAATTCAAGGCGACATTGTGCAAATAGACGAAGTAGTTCAAAGGTGTGATTCCGATACAGATGATACACTTGCTCTAGATTTTGTCAATTCAGGACAAGAAATTGGGGTGTTCGAACTGGATAAGGATTTGATAATTTCAAAAACTAATCAAAGGGAGGTTATGGCTGGACAAGTATATAAGGATAAGGCTACATTGATAGAGGCGATGGAGCATTATGTTATATCTCAAAGGTTTCAATTCCGGGTTGACAGGTCTAATTCTGTTAGGTTTGAGTGTATTTTAATATTCTTTATTTTTATCATATTTTGTATTTATGGTTGGAGTTGTAAGTTATATGTTGATGTGTTTATGCATATTTGTAAGACAATTGATCTTCACTGATGTGGTTAACTATTTTTTTATGGTCTTTAAATACATGTATTCTTGTGTATTTTAATTGTATAAACTTATTACAGTGGCTCTCATTGTTTTC